ATTAGTTCTTAATTATAAAACACAGTTTCAGCATTGGGGGTATATATTACTTTGCAAGTTTCTATACATAGAAACATTTAAAATCCATTTTCATCTTTCTTATCAAATGAATAATGTTTGCAGATTCAGGGTTATCCATGCATCCCATTATGGATACTGTCAATCTTTATGTCAGTTACTTTGAATATTCATAGTGGTCCCTAGTGATTCCTTCAATTCTGCCCATACACACAATGCTGGGGATCAAACCCAGGACCTCACGCAAGCTAGGGAAGCATTTTACACTGAACTAGATCCCCAGCCCCTTCCATCAATTCTTTTTTTTTTAACTAACATTTTCTAAGTATTCATTAATAAAAAGTGCATAGTTCAAGCCCTTTATCCCAGTTGAAGTACTTAACAAAAAAATTAACAATAAATCCTGGATGGCACAGACATGATTCGTTTGGCATGATTTTAACATTTAATAACAGCAAATTTGCATTTAACTTATCACATGACCACTTTAGCTTTTCAACAAAGTAATCAGACATGGTCCATCAGTTCTTAAAAGAAGCCATATGCACAATTCACATTCACTATCATCATTGCTGGCATTTGTCACATAATTTGCTAGTTAATTTCAAATATAGAACATTGTAGATACAAAGCTGTTTACTTTTAAATTTTAAAATTAATCCACATTCAGTGGCATATAACTAATCCTAGCATTCTGGGAAACTGGCAAGCAGGTGCATACTAAGTTTCACCCTGGACTGGGTAATTTCACAAGACTAAAATTAAAAAAAAAAAATTTAGGGCCAGGGATTTAGCTCAGCGGTTTGGTGGCCTGCCTTGCAAGCGCAAGGACTCGAGTTCAATCCCCGGTACCAAAAAAAAAATTTAAAGGGTTGGGATGTAGCTCAGGAGAAAAGCAAGTACAGATAACTAAGTATTCCTCTGAGATTATGTATTTCCATTAGTAAATTGTAGATTGGTTCATCACTTTTGTCTTTGGTTCGTGGTTTTCTCTGTGGTCACAGAAAATGCTGTGTGAAAAAAAAACTTCTATGTAAACTAGACTAGATTCAAAGATAATTATTTCACAAGTGAAAATGAAAATTTATTCATATACCACTTAGATAAGAGAATAGTTTTAAGAAAATTTTCCAGATTTATAAAGAATTTGTAAGAGACTTAAAGAACAAATAAGATTATGAAGTAGAAATACATTATAATTACTCTGCTCCTGCAGGAAATAAAAGCAATATTAAAGTATTTTTTTGTGGAGTTTCTGTGTTTTTAATATGCAACAATGATAGATAGACTCTGAATTCCTAATTGCAAATAGAGACTGCCAAAAAGGTGTTGAGGAAATGGTTAGCATATTTTGTTTGTGTGAAATTATAAATAAAAGGAGTAGGGGCTGGGGATTTGGCTCAGTGGTTCTGCCACCTGCCTCATAAGCTCAGGTCCCTAGTTTGAGCCCCGGTACCCATAAAGAAAGAAAGAAATTGGGCCGGGGATTTAGCTCAGTGGTTTGGTGGCCTGCCTCGCAAGTGCAAGGACCCGAGTTCGATTCCCGGTACCACAAATAAATAAACAAACAAATAAATAAATAAATGGATTATATAAGTGGGGCAGGGTAGTATTATTACACTTTAGTTCGACTGTCAGTTAAACTGTTTCTTGCTCTTTTATTTAGTAATAATAATGATTCCAAGGTCTTTAAAAAGTATATTTACAATGTCCAGGAGTATTCTTTAGTGCTTTTCTGGGAATGCTTGGAATTGATGAATTAGTGTTTAGAAATCTAAAAGGTTTTTAAATGTCATTTTTATATATATTTACAGTTTAATTAGGACGCTATTAAGGATATTTTTATTTATAGATTAATATCCAAGTAGATAATTTGGCTTATAGTTCTAGAAAAGAAAGGTATTGGCACTCTCTTTGTAGAAATAGTTATCTTTAAACCCTAAGTTTTTTCCCTGTATCAGATAATGCTATTGTAATGACGTATATCCAGAGCATTTTGAGTAGTAAGTCTGCTTTTTCTTCAGCTGACATTTATTTGCCAAAATAATACACTTGCTAAATTTTAGTTTCTGATTGACTATAAAACAAAGTTCTCATGTTACTCTGTTTGGGTTCAATTAATTTATTAGAGGTGCTCACAGCCCTCAGGGTTGCATGTACTTAATACTAGCTAGGTGAAGAGTTACTTAGGACATGGTCTAGAAAGGGTACTGAGTGCTGAAACTTGAACCCCTGATAGAGTTTGGATGTGCTTCTCCCAGTCCCAGCACATGAATATGTTTCTTGTTTACCTCCCTGGAGCCCGCGAACTCAGTCCTTTTGAATTTTTATGGATGCTTCATTATGTAGGTGTGATTTATTAGACCATTAGCCATTCATGATCAACTCAACCTCAGTGCCTTTGGTCTCTCCCTGGTGGTGGGATGATAAGACTGTGAATTCTAACCCTCTAAACTCATGGGTAGCTTCCAACAAGCAGCTAGCTCCCCCATATCCATAGACTCCAAAAATCATGTTACTAGTATAAACTCAAGAATTGTTGAACAGGGCTTGTTATAAATAAATAACAAAGGACTGTCCTTTGCCTTTATCATTCTGAAGCTAATGGCCAAATTTTTAACCAAAAATACTTTTTGCTTTTATCACTTTGGAAATTATACACACAAACACACAGATACACACACGTGCATATAGTTACAGTATTGCAACCACATAGCTTGCTTTTGAATTCATTATTGCTTTTAATGTATACAGTACTTTCCATCTGTCTTTGACAAGGATCCTTGTGATGTTCATATTCTTTATTCTCGAATGCATAATACCGAGATTCAAAAAGGATGGTTGCAGGAAAGCTGCTTTATAGAAATACAGGTTCACAGCATTAATGCTGCATGCTTTGTATGTTCCACTGCAAATATTGCATGCTGCCTACTTGTATTTCTCTGAAAATAAAAAAACATAGGCATATATGCACACACAAACATTTAGTATCGTTTTTGCCAATAGTTGGAACAAATGGAGGAATGTTAGACATATTTTTCCTGTTTTTTTCTAAAATAAGTTCTGTCACAATTTTTCAAAAAGCAAAGAGAAAATTATACTTAAACCCAAAGTGGCTACAAATCAGCTCCTAAACTGTCACTGACAGTAGCATTTAGATTTTGTAGTTTTTGCAGATCTTTAAAAATATTTATTAAGAAAACATTGCATGATAAAAAATTGATAAATTTTTCTTTAAATTGGAATGCAGTTTAAAAGTGACTGAATTTTCTAATTTCAGCTACTGCATTTGACGAGAATACAAATTAGAAAATGGAACTGGTATCTAATTCTTTTAGGTTCTTTGACATGTAGTAGGGGAAAAATCTTTCAGTGTGGAATTGTGTAGATCATAGTCTTGATGGCTAAAATACTGTGTTCCTCAGCTTTGACAGCAATGAAAAATTCTGGGTGGTTATAGTCTTTTCTAATAAATAATTTTGATACGTTTTCAATTTAAATATAATTGGCATTTGGCTTTTGATTATCTAAACATTGAGATTCGTATATTTTGCTCTTTATAATTGATATGAAAATGAATTAAGAAATAGATCTCAATAATTGCAGTTTCTATGATAAGTACGTCACAACTTTATTGTACACATTAAAATGACTGTGGCATATAAGTGGCTAAAGATAATATTAATTTTAGACTTAAACACATCTTTTAGCAGCATTGTCCAATAATTGATTTTTGTGTGTACATTTGTAAACTTTTCTTTATCTCATATGAGATAAAATGTTATTTATATAAATTTACCAAAACAACTTTCAGTCTAGGGAATGTTAGTGTAACTATTAAGATTATGCTTTTGAAGGTCAAACTATTAACTTCAATGTGACTATAAGTTGCCACATTGTCTAAAAATAACTACTTAATCTTTTTAGCTAGGCAGAATATGTAGATGATATTTTTTAAATCTTTTTATGAAAAGTATTTCTGATGTTCTCCAGAGATATTTCATGCTTATGAGATTTTTCATGTTTATTATTACATTAGGAAACCCTCTTGATAACCATAATTAAGCAGGCCCTTTAAAAGAAGGAAGAAATAGATAGTGGCAACCATTTTCTGCGCATATATTCAAGTAATTTATAAGAGAATCCACCTAGTAACCACTCCTTATCCTGCATTTCATTCAGTCTTAAAGGATAGATTTATTTATTTTAGAGCTCATGGTTTTGAACTGCTACTTCTAGCTTCTTGAGACTGAATGCTTGTTTATATCTTCTAGAACCCAGTATGTTCCAAATCAAAAATTTTCCACCTTTATTCTCCCATATTTTACAGCCAATCTCAGTGATGATGGTACCAGCTCCATTTTCCCTCCAATTCAGTTGATTATATATTTTTTCTATTTATTTCTCATTTTATAATTAATATCTGGAATAATAAGCAGATCTTTTCTCATTTATTTTCTCATATTTTTATTCCAGGATTTGCCTCTGAAGCAGGGAGTGTCTGCATTAAAAATGACCTGTAGTTCTCTGCTTCATAGGTTAGAAACTTATTTTAATATTTTGTGGCTAAGCACAGTCCCACTTTTCAAATTCTATAATGAATTATTTAATTGGCATTGAATGTGGACCACAGGCATATATTTTATATTGGGGTTTTCTTTATTACTTTAAATGATTAAATTTCAACAGAACATCCAGCTGAGGCAATAAAAGTTTTATTCTTGCTTTACAGCTTAAAACATTAGATTTTAAAATTCTGTCGATTATAACACAAGTGTAATTATGCTATTTGGGCATTTAAAAAAATAACATTTGTTAGGCCTTACATTGCTTGAAGCATTTATATTCTAAAACTTAACCAAATTCCAACTATTCATTTTGGGGAAAAACAATCAGCTCACAAATCATATTTTCAATGGGACTGCTAGCCAGCATAGGTGAAAATGTGTATAGTGTATTTACTCTTGGATTGTACACTGCAGATGCTTCTTCAGCTCCCTCCTCTTCCTCCATGGGCGGTGCTTGCAGCTCCTTTACCACCTCTTCCAGCCCTACCATTTATTCTACCTCAGTCACCGACAGCAAGGCTATGCAAGTGGAGAGCTGCTCCTCAGCTGTGGGGGTAAGTAACAGAGGGGTAAGTGAAAAGCAGTTAACCAGTAACACAGTTCAGCAGCATCCATCAACCCCGAAGAGGCACACAGTTTTGTACATCTCACCACCACCTGAGGACTTGCTGGATAACAGTCGGATGTCCTGCCAGGATGAGGGGTGTGGATTGGAATCTGAGCAGAGCTGCAGTATGTGGATGGAGGATTCCCCCTCCAACTTCAGTAACATGAGCACCAGTTCCTACAATGATAACACTGAGGTACCTCGTAAATCACGAAAACGAAATCCAAAGCAGAGGCCGGGGGTCAAACGACGAGATTGTGAAGAATCTAATATGGATATATTTGATGCCGACAGTGCCAAAGCACCTCACTATGTGCTTTCTCAGCTTACTACGGACAGCAAAAGCAACTCAAAAGCTGGAAATGGGTTGGTATTCACATTTTTTAAAGTTCTATCACCATTTTACAAAACAAAACAAAAATTCCCAATTTTTCTTAATTGCTCAGCTACAGTTTGCATATAAAGGAAAGATATTAATTTTATCATTGAAATAAATGACAATTTTAACTTAAAATAACCAAGTTTAACTAAAGAAAAAAAATGACAATAGATTGCAGGAACAAGTATCTCATTAAGAGGATAGCTAGGTAATAGAAAATAATCTGTTTTGCCCGTTTTTGTTTTTGTGGTACTGGGGATTGAACTCCAGACCTTATGTGCGCTAGGCACGTATTCTATCACTGAACTATACCCCCAGGCCTTTGTACATTTTATTTCGAAAAAGAGTTTCACCAAGTTTGACTAGGCTAGCCTTGAACTGGTGACTTCTCTAAGTTTCCTGGTCTAGCTTTGAACTTGTGATTCCTCAGCCTATGTAGCTGGGATTGTGGGCATATGCCAGCACATCCAGCTGAAAATAATTCGTTTAGAAATAATTTTTAAATTTCAAATGGATTTTAAAACATTTTTTTCATAGAAATAGCATTGTAGTAGCTAGACCAATTCAAAATATTCTTCCAAAGCTAATTTGTATTCTTTTTTAAATTATATTTTTATGTAATTCACTCCATTTCCATTTTTTAGAAGATTTTAGACATTTTCTCTTTACGTAATGAAAACAAGGAAATATTAAACTAATGGTTTGATTCTCATTTAGGTTCATTTGTCTTAACCTTTTTCTTTTGATATGTTGTGCAATTCAGGAGTTTTGTTTCGTTTTGTTTTTTCTTTTTTCTTTTTAAATCACTACTTTTCCCCTGGGTTACTTATTGAGAGGGTAATGAAATAGGAACATGGTACTTGTTTAAGTTTTCATTCATCTCTCCTAGTTCACACCTGCTCATCAAGAGTATGTCAATACCTACATTGTAGAAAATTTACCTCTATAATGCAGACTAGTGTGGTTTATTTTGACTTTTAATTTTTTCAGTATTTTACTCGTAATTTTAATTACTAGACTTTTTAAATAAGATTTTTCCTGTGTGTTCAGTATAGTTTAATAAAATTTAACTCATTAAATTTTGAGAATTACTCTTGGGAAGCAGCATCACATCTTTTAATTGACCCAGAATCCTTTACAATTTTAGGTTATCACAACAAGCAGTTCAGAAGCTTTAGCTTGGTTTACTAATTGATAAAATCAGTGATCTCATTAACATTAAAAATCTGGTTGAATATTATAGATAATATTCTTAATATATTAAACTTGTCCTTACATTCACTCATTTTCAAAGTAATATCTATCATTTAAGGAGGAAATATAGACTGTACTACTTGCTTTTATACTTTGATTTAAAACTCCTTTGGAATTACATTAGTAAATAAAAACACATATTTAAATGCTTGTCAGTTTTAGCAAGTCCGGAGTAAGAGATTTCCTAAAAGAAAAAGGATAAGGCAAGGTGCGGTGGTGCACATGTGTAATCCCCAGCATTCAGAAGGCTGAGGCAGGAGCATTGCCTTAAGTTCAAGGCCAATCTGGGCTGCATAGTGAATTAAGGCTAGCCTGAAGGACATAGTGAGGCCCTGTCTCAAAAAAATAAGCGGCGAGGGTAGAGGAAATAAAGAGAAAAAAAAACCTCTGGGGTATCCTTGCTAAAATGTTCGCATTTAACAGTCAGAAATTACAGACCATGATATTTGTAAGACTACTACATAAAAATCAAAGATCTAAAGCATAATGAAATACCATAGGTCACTTAAGTAAATGTGACTGACTAGTAGCACAGATCTAAAAGGTTTATGAATGTCATTAAAAACACATACATGTTTATTTGGTCTTCAGTAGAGAAAATCTTTATGAAATTCTAATGGAAGAGATTTTCATATTTGTACTAAAATAGATTTCAAAGGTTCAAATTAAAAGCAAATAAAGTTTGGCTTAGGGATAGTTAATACAGTGATTTGCAGTTGCTAATTAAAGAGATATCTTGACCTACATCTTTTCTGCTTCTGCTTTTGTATGATAGATATATCTTAGAAATGATTTGAGGTTACCCAGGGAAAGTATAATGACATTGGTCAAGACAAAATCTCTCATGAAATAATTCATGGAGCAGAAACTCCATCAAGCAGCAGAAGAAATGTCCAGCTTCTTAGGTAATGGAAAATTATTTGACACTAGTATATGGAAATGATGAAGACGTTTAAAAGTTGAATTTATAATAAGTATTGAAGAAAGGATGGAACCATATGTGAGATACATAGAAAAACAGGCCTTGAATGCAGTTTTTTTAGAGCATCTCATTCTAATAACCTATCTTCAAAGTGAGAAAGATATTAGAAACATGAAACTTTTAAATGCTTTGAGTGTTAAGTTATATAGCTTTAGATCTGTTGTGGCTAATGTATCATAATTTGCAATTTACATAATGCTCAGTGTTAAGAAAGTAAAGTATACTTTTAAAATGTTGTATTAAATACCAGATAGAATCTTGATAACCTGTGGATGGAAATATCATTGTTTCTAAATAAAATTTTATAATTTATTGGGGAAAAAACGATTTAAAAAGATTCCATAGCATTCTTATTTCTTTCAAATAAATGTCCAGAGAATCAGCAGACCTATGTCTCTTCTAGATATTTTTAGAAGATAGGATGTCATGTGAAATCTATTTTAGGCATTTTGCACTGAAAGTTATTTTTGTGACATAGTCAGAAGGCTTATCAAGCACCAAATAATTAGAATATCATTTAAAGACTGAATAGAATATGCTACAAGAGTGAATTTTCCTTTTTAGTTGCCATTTAGAAGTAAAATCCCAGCTTTGGGTGTAGCTCACTGGTAGAATACTTACTTGCCTATCATGCTCGATTCCCTGAGTTTGATCCCCAGCACTCAGAACTGGGTACCAAAAAAAAAAAAAAGAGTAGTAAGGTCCTAAATAAGGGTCACTTTTTTCCCTTAAGCCTACATACCTTAAGTATTTATAATTTCAGTGGCAACTTTCCAATAATTAGTTCATGTTTTCACTATTTTACTTGTCTATAGATCTAGATACGTATGTTTTCCAATTTCTTTAAACAGGTAATATAGTTCTAAGTACTTTAAAATATCACTTAAATTTTTTAATTCCATGTACTATTAAATACATACTTGTGAACTCACTCAACAGGCTTCATCTCAGTTAAAGTATTTTATTTTACTGGAATAATAAAAGTCACTTTTGTGTATTTACCCTGATTAAAATATTAGCTTGGCTAGCATAAGTAAATATAAAAATTGCATCTGGCTAATTGACATCAATACAAATTAAATTTACTTATATTACAAATTAAAAATTTCCCTTTTTTGTTACAAAGTCTATAGATATGAATTATAAATGTTTGAAAAATACAGCAGAATAACGTATAATCTAGTTGACACAGCTGCTACTATTATTTTGTTATATTATCTTCTAGTTCTTTTACAAGTATATGAGAGGAATGTTTGTACATTATTTCCATAAGTGACTTTTTTGCCTTGATGTTGACAAGTGTAAAACAAAGTATTCTTTTAGAATTACGCATTATTCAGACCAGATGTTTGAATCTCTACCCAGAATGATGAAAAAAGAAGTAAGGTTTATTAAGCTCGTTCTTTCAGCTTTTTTTTTTTTAAATGGATCTGGCTGTATCATTTTGATAATTTTGTTCATAGAATTTATTTTTTCAAGGTCTGTTAGTGACTTACATAGGTTATCTTTGATTTAATTATGTGAAACATAGGAATGGCATTCCTTGTCTAGTTAGGTTGTGTTGTTTCTCATATTAACATTATACAGTAGAAGCTTCATTTTTCTTCTGGTTTTCTGTTTGTTCTTTTAATCTATCTGCTTGCCTTCATTAACAAATCTTCAGCACCTCTTATATGAACCTGTGCAATCTTAGGGCATTACAGCATAGCTCTTATCCTCAGAACTTTTCTCTTCATTACTTACTGCATTTCTGTGTCCATTCTGTCTCTTCTGTCCTCCATTCTTCTGCCCTTTTCCTAGTCAGGAGGTTTAGCCAATCCTCATTTCTATTGATGGTACTGCCTTCTCTCTCTTCTTGATGATTGAGGGATCAACTTGTTTCCACCCAGAGGGGTAAAGATTCGAGTGAGATTTATGGCTCTTTAACTCTGCTGTGTTTGATCATATTCCTTCTGGTACTTGGTTATTTATGAAGGAGGTTTTGTCTACATTGTCCTATGGTTTCTGAATCTTTAATATAAATAAAAAAGCTTTATAGGTGCTTATTTAAAATATACATGGATAATTTAAAATCTACTTCATGTTGCTCAAAGAAAAAAAATGACAAAATGATTTTTAAATTAGCATATATTCACATTGCTTCAGTTACTTTATGGAGAGAATGTGCTGTCATGAAGTTTAACCACTATTAGGAATATTGTTTTTATTTGAACATACATTCTGTCTAGCACATGTATTATTAACAAATAAATGTTAAAATACAAATTAAAAATTATTCCAATGCTGTAAAGCCCACATTATAAAAATTTTAATTGAAAGCTTTAGTTATTTATTCACAAATAAAGCTACTCTGAAAAATCACTTCTGACAAAGATTATTTAGACAAACTTATTTCCCAATAAAAATTGAATCACTGTTTTTTATTTTCTTATTTTGATTGAGAAATAGATTGAAAAGAGTATATTGTAAATATCTTTGTTTTAGGCCTTTTTGAGGGGTAGGGATGGTACTGAGGATTAATCCAGGAACCTGGTATCTTCTAGGTAAAAACTCTACCACTGAGCCACATCCCCAGCCTTTTTTTTTTAAGGCCTCTGTGTGTGTGTGTACACATGTTGTACTGGGTTTTGGTTCTTTTGCTTTGCAAGTTTGACTAGAAAATAATAGTTAACCTTTTATGTTTATGTAAAAGTCATACACAATTTAAAAATTTTATCTTGCTTGAAGTATTAAACTTTATTGTGCTCAATCTTACTCCTTACTCATATATATTCTTTCTCTTGTCCAACTTTTTTTTTACATTAAATAAGTAAATTTTGTTTAAAAATTTAAAAGGTATTTTGCTTATGGAATATATCTTCCTTTAGGCTGTGTTTTGTCAGTAAGCTAGCAGTTGTTGTTAATTGTATTGTCTGTTTTGTATATTTGTCTTAGGTAGCTTTTGTAGAAAACTATTTTTGATATTTTCTTCATGTTGTTCTTTCCTTTCTCAGAACATTAGACAACCAAAAAGGAACGGGAGTAAAGAAGAGCCCTATGTTGTGTGGACAGTATCCTGTTAAAAGCGAAGGAAAGGAGCTGAAAATAGTTGTACAACCTGAAACCCAGCACCGAGCTCGGTACCTGACTGAGGGCAGCCGTGGCTCAGTAAAAGACAGAACTCAGCAAGGCTTTCCTACAGTAAAGGTATTTTATTTAGTAAGATATGGAAAAAGAAAATTTCCAATTTTCTTTTAATCTCAGCTAAAGCTGCCTAAAACAGAAGGCTTGAATTGAGTGCTGAGATTGAAGGCATGTGCCATGCCTGGCATCTCTTTGTTTTGTTTTGTTTTGTTTTGTTTTTTGTACCAGGACCTTGTGCTTGTGAGGTATGCAGCAGAACCACTGAGCTGAATTAAATCTCTGGCCCATCTTTATTTGTTTTTTTGAGGCAGGGTCTTACTATGTTGTTTTAGGTAGCCTTGCACTCACTATGTAGGCCAGGCTGGCCTCAAACTCAAGAGTTATCCTCTTGTCTCAGCCTCATGAGTGCTGGGGTTACAGGTATGTGCTACCATGCCCCCATCCAAACTTTATAGTTAAGAAGAAATTTTTAGATGAATACAAAGAAATAAAGTAGTTTTTTTTTTTTTTTTGGTACTGGGGATCAAACTTGGGACCTTGCACTTGTGAGGTAGGTGGCAGAACCACTGAGCTAAATCCCTGGCCCTAAAATAGAAATGTTTAAAGACTTGGGAAAGAAGTTTGTTGTTGTTGTTGTTTGTTTTTGTTTTTGGTACTGGGGATCAAACTCAGGACCTTGTGCTTACAAGGCAGGCAGGCGGTGGAACCACTGAGCTAAATCCCTGGCCTAGGAAATAATATTTTTGAGAAGGCTAAAGTAATCAGAACTATTTAATACAGAAAAGAATTTGTTGATATGTAACTTAAATCTTACTTTAAAAAAATAGAATACACAAGGACCCAAGTTCAGTCCCCGGTACCAAAAAAATAAAAAATAAAAAGATAGGATATCAGTTAAGTCTCTTCAGAACTTAGAATAAAGTAAAAATGGGGGGTTTATTATCCTGTTATAAAAAGTATTTCTCTTTGAAGATAAAACAAAAAACAATGGTATGGAAGATGTTTTACAGTTGCCTCTAATCCTTGAAAAATACTACATAGGGGGAAATTTTGGCTCATTACATGATAGAATCTTATTAAATACACTTTGAGTAAATGTTTGTTGAACAGTGTGTCAAGACTAAAATAGAGATGGACTGCCTTTCATTTTATATTTGAATGAAATTATGCTTGAAACTTGGGATCTGGAAACTTGCCCATGGCCTTTTGTAAGCTTAGTTAAGAGTTAACATATGCATCATTCTAACCCTAGCCTTACCGACCAAACCCATCCCCAATCACTCAAACCCAATACAAGTTACAGAAAATGTGAAAAATTTACATTGTGATTTATGTAAATATTTTTCTATCTAGACATTTTGATAATGTCAATATTTTTAGTCTTTTTACCTTGACTTTAAGTTAGTTGTGTCATGTACTGTCCAAGTAAGATGCATTTTAGATTAATTGCTTTACATGATAGGAAATGAATTGACTAACCTTAAAAGTTTATTTATTGGGCCAGGGATTTAGCTCAGTGATTCTGCTGCCTGCCTCGCAAGCGCAAGGACCCAAGTTTGATCCCCCAGTACAAAAAAAAAACTTTATTCATTCAACAAATATTAATGCTGCTCTATGGTAGCACTGGTCTAGGTTTTGCTGATTATGTGATTTGCTTATTGCTTATTTGTATTATGAGAATCATTTCACAGAGATGCCAGTATCTCAGGACAACAAAGATATAGGACTTTTCTAAAGCCCTTGGGAATACTCTATTTGAGTTACCTTGTTATTTTCTGCATTCTGCATCACCTGCTTCAGTGCTTTAACTACAAACATCAAGAATCAAAGTTGGAGGGCTGGGGATTTAGCTCAGCGCCTCGGTGGCCTGCCTTGCAAGCGCAAGGACCCAAGTTCAGTCCCCGGTACCAAGAAAAAGAATCAAAGTTGGGCCAGGTGTGGTGGCACACACCTATAATCGCATCACTCAGGAGGCTGAGGCAGGAGGATTGCTGTGCTATCTAGTGAGTTCCAGGGTCATTCTCAAATACATAGTGAGACCCTGTCTAAAAAAGAATCAAAGTTGGAAACATTTCGTCTCAACTGCATTCATTCATTCAATCATTCATTCATTCATTTATTTGGTACCGGGGATTGAACACGGGTCCTTGCTCTTGCAAGGCAGGCCACCGAACCACTGAGCTAAATCCCCGGCCCTCAACTGCTTTTAAATGTTTACTCTTCACCATATGAATTATAATTTATGAAAGCTTTTCTGGATACATATAATGATCTATGGATTTTGGTTTGAAATAGCAGTTTTTAAACCATAATGCTTGGTCCAGGATTATTTGTCTATTATTCATACAGCTACACCTTAAACACGTTTGTACTCAACACAGCTTTAAATGAGAAATAATAACTCATTTAATGATGAAGATAATGCCACTAATGCAGCCCAATAATGTAATACCACTAATGATAAAGATAATGCCACAGTGAATTTTCTCATCATTGGTAGTATTAAAGTCCTCAATAACTTAAGTGCTACGTAAGAGTTGTGTGCTCATTCTTACTTGCTTGTACAAATAAATTACAAATGAGAATTTATCTAACATCTAAAGTTTTCATTAAAACAGTACCACAGAAAGCCTGGCATGGTGGCACACACCTATAATCCCAGCACTCTGAGGCTGAGGCAGGAGGATCGCTGTGAGTTTGAGACCAAACTGGGCTACATAGTGAGTTCCAGGTCAGTCTCAAATTCATAGTGAGACCCTGTCTCAAAGAACAAAACAGCAGCAGCAGCAGCAAAAACAATATATATATATATA